TTTTTTATATATTTAAAATTTATGTATTTATGTGTATAAGAACTGGGGTACAGGCCAGAGGTGCAGGGGTGGTGTGAGGATTCATCAGAGACAGAGAGGAGAGCAGAACAGGCAGATCTACTGAAGTACACTGCTGAGGGGAGCAGCAGGAGGGAAAGGAGAGGTCTGTTGTGCCACATGGGTTATCTCTCTGGCTGGGGAACGAACTCGTGTTTCAGTGGCTGTGATAGCTTCATAGTGCTGTGCTCTCACCCCTTGCACCGTCAGGGAGGGATCAAAAATTGTATTTTTTTAATCTTTTGACACACTCCACTAAATGTTCTTTTTTTATTTCATGGATTTCTGTTCTTTATTTATTTTCTGTTCTTTATTTATTATTTATTTTCTTTTGAGTTTCAGCTTTTTAAAAATTAACCAATAGAAATTGATATTTAACTCATATTTTGTAGTTGCTTTTTGCTAAGTTCACAAACTTTGAAAAGTAATATCATTATCATTATGACTGTGCTCAAATTGTTTTCTCATTTACACTATGGCTGCTTAATAGATTTTTAAAATTGAGAGATTTTTAATTTCAAATATATAGGAGGCAACATACTACTTGCCTGAAAAAAACCTATTTCTATCTTAATTAAGCATTTTCAAATAATTCAATACAATGAAATTACCAGAACTCTCTACATAGACCAGTAATCTTTATGACTAGTGAAGGTTTGTTAAGAACTTGAAAAGAAAGGAAATTCTGCAGTTATTACTGCAGTTATTTACTGTAATATTCAAATATTCCCAGTCATTAAATTTTTTTTGCTGCTGCTTTTCTATCAAATACTGAAAAAGATGTACTATCATATCCTACTAAGTTTTTGAATTTGTTTATTTCCACTGATGTTACAAAAATATTACTATATAAATTCTGAGACTTCCCTCTTTATTTTCAGTTTTAATTTTTAAAAAATAGTATTGCTGAGTGAGTTCTATTTTTACAATTATTTTCTCCCAGCCAGTGAAAAATACCTGTCCGTTATCTTTTGTGTTGCATGGTTGCTATTGAAAAATCAGCTAATTTGTCTTTAAGACTCTAGTGCTGTCTTGTCATAGGTATCTAAAGAAGCCATGCACCAGAACATACACAGAGTTTTTGAGTGATATATAAACAAAAAGAAACTAGAAATAGTGAATTGAGAATACCCAAGGAAAATGGAAAGAAGCAAATTATCATGCATCAGCTCTTTATACATTATACCATTTAATTTGAAAGCTGAAGAAGAGAATTAGGTGTCATTATTCATTTTGGGAAACCATGAGAAATGGTTGAAGTTTTTATTACTTACAGCATCGCAGTTCACCCAACATTCACTTTTTAGGCATTCTCAACTTAAAAAAGTGATACTATTTATCCTTATTTACAAGCAAAGTATAAAAAGAGAGCTAATATGTTTCAAAAATACTTCCTTTGTAAAGAAAATGCTGTACCTACCTTGTAAATGAAATTCGTTCTCCCAACTGATCCAATTTTCCCAGTGTGGTTCATGAAACAAATATTTCCTTCGGTAGCTCCATAAAGCTCACACATCTTAATGTTCCCAAATCTGTCTAAAAATTCTCTCCATACATCCCGCCTCACACCATTTCCAACTGCCAAACGCACTTGATGATCCTTTTCTCCTTCTCTCTGAAATAAAATATTTCACTTAAAATTTGTTAATTACTGTTATCAATTCTTTCTTTCACTTCTATTATTTAAAGGGCAAATATCCAGAAGTTACATAAATGCATCAAGAAAGGAACTAAAACAACAAAATATCTCCATCTGTTACAAAACTATAACCCAGAGTCATTGAAGCTAGCACTGGCCCAAAGTAATACAGTTTCTATTATCCACATCTGGGAAAAGCTCCTCTACTTTAATTTAAATTCCACATTACTGGAGTCTTGTTTTAGGTGAAATCAGAAAGGAAGAAAAACGTATTTCAGGTAAAAAATTACTAAATATATATTTGAGTTTGCATTTTCAACTCTATCACTTTTTAATCTATATGTCTGTATATTCTATTCTATTTTTTCTATATACTTTTCAACAAGAGATTGTATCTTATTCTGATTCTCATTTTTTCTACAAAAATTGATGGTAACACCTACTCACTGATACACTGTAGTATGTAGCTAATATCCAGTGTTTATCATATAGTAAGTAATAAATTGAGGTAATCTAATCACTGCAATATTTGGGTTGTAAATACTATGACACCTTTTTATAACCATTACTTTCAAATATTCAATATCCTATATTTAATAAACGCTATCTTAGCATGATCTATACACTGATCAAAAGTTAAAGTAACACTATATTGTCAGAGTAATTGTGGTAAATCCATTATTCCTTCTGCATTGTCTGCAATCATCACCAAAGTAGTACAAAACAACAAAGACTAATAACAAGTCAAGAAAAAAAACTCAGTGCCCCTGACCAAAAAAAAATATTTGATTGGTGATATTCTTTACTGCACCTCCTTCTCAGTTTCATTGTACAGATTTTAATCAATTCATTTGCAGGAACAAAGAAAATGTTATTGGCGAACCATAATTCTGGAAAGGTAATTAGAGGTATGTGAAGAAGCAGAGTAGATAAGGCTGAAATCTAAGCCTGCGGGTGGAATAATTAACCAATACTCCCAGAAGTGTTAAGCAAGCATCAAAAAGAATGCAGGAGGCAGAAGCTTGGCTGGAACTTTGTTTAAAGAGCAGCTGCACCCTAAATACTCTATAGATAATGACTTGGGAGTCTGTCCTCACTACACACTGGAGACTACAAACTGGAGAAATCCAACTGGACATTACCACTTTGGGTTGAAAACCTGTCACATATTGATGCTATCCTAGTTTATATGATCTGGAGTGATCACTGGTAACCCCCCAGTATGATTTGGAGAAGAAAAAGCCCTCTCTGGGGAAAAACTGACACACACACACAAACATGAGAGCAACAAAAGATGATGAATGAACAAAACAGAGTAAAAGAGAGGTGTATAGGAGGAGCATCAACAGGGAGTGACATATGCAGAGACAGAGAGACACCCACACTGTTGAGAAAGGCAACAACCACACTTATATAAGCATACAAAGTAAGTCACATTCACACAGAGTCCCAAACTCCCTCTGTCATAATCACATAGGGGAAAAGAAAGGCAAAATAATAAGGATAAACTGAACACAGAAAGAAGATTCCATATTAGAAGAGAGACACAGATAGAAGGAAATAAAGAGACAGTGGCACAGAGCATGTGCACTGAGACATGTAAAAACATATATGTAAATAGAGAGTCCAGGTTATTGTATTATCTCATTTCAATCACAATAGCCCCATAAAAGATGCAGCATTATCCCCAATCTGCACGCACATCTGAGATAATGAAGTTTAGATCCAAGAGCACATACCAAATGAACAGTCAGAATTTAAACTCGTTAACAACTAAATGCTTGGATCGCTGCTGATAAAGACATGTACCAGAATATCTGTGAACCTGAATTTTGTACCTGTGAAAGTTGTGAATTTCCTTTAAACAGAGGGATCCTGAACAGATTTTTTAAATTGCACTTGGGGACAAATTCAGCATCTTTTCAAACACATTATACACACACTAACTAAAGAATAAATAAAAGTGCTTTGAGGGCAGGGACCATTGCCTTTTGGCCCAAGCTACACCGTTTTGTTTAGCACAGTGCCTGCCATATAAGAGATGTTCACAACATATTTGTGGCAAAGGGGAAGGAAAGGGAGGGCAGGCAGGACAAAGAAAGGAGAAAGGGAGAAGTAGGAAAGGAGGGTAAGAAGAAGGGGAGGAAAAGTCTCAAACACCCTTGCTCTCTTTATTCAAGTCTTTCCTCAGGAATTCAGCAATAAGAACCGATCAAAGCATGCAGTTCTAATTCAGTAGTTAATGCTTAAATGTTTACAAACTGTCTCACAAACACCACCACCTCATACAGGGAGGAAGTCCTTCATGGTACAAAGTCCTCATCTCATCTGAAGCCACTTAAAATCTCATTCAAAATTAAAAAAGAATTTACTGAGTGGGTCTGAGCTATGACCCAAGGTCCTGGATATCAGACCAGTTACCTGCTGGCTTCCAGCACAGGGCATCAAACTAATGTGACCACATTAGAAGTCTGAACCAAGACTCTAGTCACTTCAGCTGTTGAGCTACAGTTACCTCCTACCATGAGCTACAATTACCTCCTACCATGAGCTACAGTTACATCCTACCATGTCTGATTTATTTGTTCCTTTGCTGAAATGCAGGTTTTAGACAATATCTTCCTGGAAACAAAGTCTCTTTCTTCCAGAACAAGTACTTAACCCTACCCAGAGAAACCCTAAAAGATCAGGTTGAATGGCCTCTTTATCTGCATCTGAAAAGAGAAAGCTGAGGTCCTGTTTAAGTGCAAGTAACTTTGTATCCACCTTGATATCTGAGGAAACAAGGAGTGTTTGTTGATAAGATGAGTGAGTGAACAGAAACATAGATTCATAGTGAAAACAAAGGAGCACAGCATTTAGGGCTTCCCCACCTGGATAACCAGCTGCATGAAAAGCAAATTTTAATCCCTAAAGGATCACCTAAAACAGAACAACATGTCAGACATTCTGATTCTTCTACCTTGATTAGATTTAATCTAAGACCGCTTCTTCCTACAGCCCTCTGAAAATTACACATGCGTATAGGTCATACCCACAACTCCTACTCAGGATTAGAACTATCCATTCATAGTTTGCTTCCCTCCACAGACACTCCAAAATTATACAGTGAACAACATAGGCGACCAGCCCAGTAGGTATTAAATAACTGACACAAAGTAACAGTGTATGCAACCAGGATGTCAGAGAATCCTGGAGTAGAAAAAAGACAAAAAGATGGCAGACTCTTGCCATGGGGAAGGAATGGTAGGGGGAGAGGTTGGGAGGGGCTTCTTGAGAAAAAGGAATGGAGAATACAGTTGATCCCTGAATAACCCGGCGGATGGGGTGCCGGGGTCTCTTCACTATGGAAAATTGACATATAACTTTTGAAGACTTCCAAGTTTTACTATTTACTGGGGACTGGAAGCCTTCGTGATAACATAAATAGTCAACTAAGCCATCTATTTTGTTTTATATACTGTATTCATACATTAAATTGCATATAATAACTTAATACTAAGAAAATTGTAAAAGCAAATACATTTCCTGTACTGTACTATATGTAGTGATACCTTAGAGGTTTATAGCCTTTGTTTTCAAGGAAATCCACACATGTAGCGGGCCTGTCTGTTTAAATCTATGAGGTCTGGAATCAACTGTCTTTACCAGGAGAGGCATGGATGACTGAGGCAATACTGATTCCAGCTGCCCCAAAAGTCTTGTCATGTTGGACCCTCTCTGGTGGTACAACAGGTTAAAGCACAGCATTATGAAGTCAGCCACCGCCACTTTTGCCCAAGTTTGACCCCCTACCAGGGAGCTGATCCACACAGAAGGGCAGACCTCTCCTGACCTGCCTGCTGCTCCCCTCAGCAGTGTACTTTATCAATCTGCCTCTTCTGCTCCCCACTCTGTCTCTGGTGAATCCTCTCATCACCCCTGCACCTCTGGCCTACATTCCAGTTCTGTATGCATAAATAAATAAATCTTTTTTTTTTTAAAAAAGAAGTCTTGTCATGTTGCTTTTTGCTCTGGATTGGGAAAAACCCTGATTTCAGAGACCACAGCCATAAGTTCAACAAACCATTTTAAGATAAACAGTGTGACACAATCATTGTGAGCTCAAGTGGTATTGCAGAAAAAACAATGTGTGATTTATTTCCAATTCATTTCTTACATGCAAGTTTTTTTTTTTTTAAAGATTTATTTATTTGTGCATACAGAACTGGGGTACAGGCTAGAGGCTCAGGGGCGGCGAGAGGCTTCACCAGAGACAGAGTGGGGAGCAGAACAGGCAGATTGATGAAGTACACTGCTGAGGGGAGCAGCGGGCGGGTCAGGAGAGGTCTGCTGTGCCATGTGGATCACCTCCTGGGCAGGGATCTAACCCATGCTCAAGTGGCTTTAGCTTCTTAGTGCTGTGCTTTAACCCACTGTGCCACCAGGGAGGGCCACATGCAAGTTTTTTTTTTTTAAGATTTGTTTATTTATGCATACAAGAACTGGGGTGCAGGTCAGAGATGTGGGGGGGGCTGAGAAGAGTCACCGAAGACAGAGTGGGGAGCAGAACAGCTAAATCTACTAAAATACATTCCTGAAGGGAGTGGTAGACAGGACATGTGGTTCACCTCCCTGGCCAGGTATTGAATTCTTTCTTCAGTTGTGGCAAAGAGCTTCATAGTGCTGTGTTTAGTCCCTTGAGCTACTAGGGAGGCCCCCTACATGTAACAGTAACAGGGATTGCCATTTATAGAGCAGGTATTCTGGAACAGAGTGCTCTCTACACTGGCAGCACTTGTGAGAAATGAAAGTGGAAGGAAAGTACTGCTTCACACCAGAGACATTTCAGATCTGCATTCTAGAAAAGGCCCACACTCCCCCCTGCCACACTTGGCTTTAACCTGAAGGACTGTAGTAACTCACCTGTGAAAAGGTTGTGTAGATGTGATGGGAGGTTGTCCTGCCCAGGAAACCCAGAAGTTAGGTCAAATGAG